TTATGATCCTCTGACTGCAACAGATACTTGGCATGGGCGCCTGTGATGCTCTGCCAGGCCTGTGCTGCAACCACGCTCACATCTTTCTTGTTTTGAAGGCTTCTTGCCCTCAGTCTGGTCTACAGCGAGGGGAACACATGCTCAGTTGGACTGAGGTCAGCTGACCGACTTTGCTATTCAGGAGCATCAGAGAGTATAAAAATACTGAAAGTCAGCATTTTAAACCCAGGGTTTGTTTATCATACCAAATGCATTTTACTGCCTGCAATGTATGCCCAGGCAATTGTAAAAAGTATCTTTTCACAGAATACAGTGGAAATTCTGTGAGAATTTACATTTATATTTTTACTGGTAGCTGTGAAAAAAAAAGGACCCCTTGAAATAAATTGATGTGTGGAGATTAACTTTATGGCACAGATAGGGAGTTTCAAAACAGTGGTAATCTATTATTTCCTAACCTTATTATGCCTTATTAACCAAAATGAAAGAAAACATTACCTTGTTTTAATACATACTAATATGATCTCAGGGAGGCTAGAGACAAGGAGGATGTTTTATGTTTTCATATTTTTGCAACTTTTTAAGCAAAATTTTGTTATCTTTGATGGCATATGTGGAGTAAAATAAGAAAGTGATGAGGAATTACACAATGGTAGGACTTAAGAGTCTTCGTAACGCTAGAAATATCTAAAACCAGCTTTAGTAATAACATGATGGGGCCGCAGTGTGGACTTTAGGTAGTGAAATGTAATGCTTTAACAAAATGCAGCTGTGTTATAATGCCCCACCTAATTGTTAAGTTTTTTACTGCACAGTATTTAGAAAGGGAAGTTGATATTCAAAGCAAGTGCACATAAATGAGGCTTAGGCTATATGATTAAAACAAAGACAATATTACAACCCTTGATAAAAGAATGTTGTATTTCTGTTTATCCCCCCACTGCTTTAAATGCTTTTTAAAGCATTTTTAAAGACATAGATGTTTTTTTTTTATAACTTTTATCTAGAGTTTATATCATCTTTTAAGTTCATGGAGCTTAGTATATCAGAAAAGGGTTTGCCATAGTAAAGAAATTAATCCTTAAGATCTTCCTAATTATGAAATAAAAGGAAAATGAAATACATTTTTTTTCTAATGACAATCTGGGAATTGTAGTGTGCTTATATGTATTCACCCTCCTTCACCTTAGTTTAACTTGCTGCCCTCAGAGGTTCACCTGCTTGTATTTAATTCAGTATTGAAATCCAGCTATTCAGTGAATTCCTCAGAGGTTTGTTACTGAATATTACTGAACAAACAGCATCATAAAGACCAATGAGCACAGCAGACAGATCAGAGATAAAACTGAGTAAAAGTTGAAAGCTGACTTAGGTTCTGAAACAATACGCCAATCTTTGAATGGCTCACAGAGCACAGTTCAAAACATCATCCGAGATGAAAGGAGCAGAAGGAGCAGAGTATGCATGATAAAGCTGGAAGAGCTGTGGAGATCCACAACTCGGCTGAAACGTATCTTGGAAAGCTAACACGGTACATCCATCTAAGAACATAGATCTGTGGCATCATCATGACATGGGGATGGTTTTCTTCAGGAAGGACACGAAATCTGGTCAGAGTTGATGTGAAGATGGATGGAGATAAAAGAAGGTCAGTCATGGAAGGAAAGCTGTTAGTTGCTGCAGAATAGTTGAGGTGGGGGTAGAGGTCCACACTCAAACAAACCTAAACGTACAACCGGAGCTAACGCGGACTGGTTTAGACTCTTCCTAAAAAAATAGTATTGTTTGGAAGTTTGTTTATCTCAGTAACTCCATCACTAAATGGATGAAATTATATAAATGAGTTACATGCAGATTGATGTGTTTAAAGGATAATATTCTGCTGAGAGAAATAGCAAATATAACATTTAAGATTAGAATATCATATCACAGAAAAAAACCCTGATATAGAAATATGAGCTTTATGATAAATAGGTTTTAAACCTACTTAATCTTATTTCTAAGTAGTGCTTTTCAGCCAACAAACAAACCTCGATGCTACAGATATTGTAATCTAAAAAAGACGTCTGTTTTCAGTTTATAAAATAAGCCTTTATCAGTACAGGCAGAAGTCCAACCAAGAGTCTCTGAAAGGGAAGAACATTGCTGTCACAGATGCTCCCCATCCAACTCTTCCAATTTGAAGTTGTGGATGTGTGTAGTGTAGTCTGCACATAAAGGCAGTCATATTCTTCTTCCTTTCCCTCAGCTTGTGTTATTCAGCAGCAGCATGTTCTCCAGTTTTGACGATAAAACCACTCTGCCGGTACCTCAGAACAGATGCTAGATGTGAATCTTAATTGGGCTAAGCCAATGATTACGTGTGCAGCTCATAAAAAAACGGAGTCTACATGTAGTATTACGGGGACAGAAGGATGTAGCAGATTTTACAAATCTACATTGGTGCTCCTTTGGGTGTAGTGATGTTCTACCTTACACATTATACCCAGGGGCTTCATGCCAGCACTGTCTCTACGGATCAACCAGGTCGGATTTTCCTGGATGTTCAGGGACAGCGACACTGTTCTCTATTTGTGTGATAGGCAGCAAGCAAACCACAGAGGTTCTATCTCTGTGATTACATTTTGAAAACTTTTGTCTTTCTTTTCCTTAAGCCAAGCGTTGATATCTCAAGAGATTCATGCTCAGCTCTGACATTCATTCTGTTTTCTGTCCTTCACTTTATTGCTTATTTCTTCCCATTGTTCACATATATAAAGGCCATTTCACTTTCAGGCATTTGTTTGTTGTCTTGTTTAAATTCGTTCTAAAGCCTCATTGCATTACGGATAAATAGTAATTTGCATTTTACTGAGTAAATCTATTTACATTTGGTTTCTTACGCAGACATTACAACTGAAAAATAGATTCATTTTCATATGGATTAAGTAGTCCCAGAAAATGCATTGTAATATTGTTTATCATGTTTATTGTTATAAATCTGGTCGTGATTCTATAAAAAACTAGAAGTTTGCTGTGAAATTCATCTGGCAGTAAGAAGTTAGGATCAGCCTTTTTGATGCTACAATACTTCAGGCTATATTTTTCAAGATATAACACATTTCCTTACAATATTCGTATTAAAGGTGATATGATATTTAGTGTTATTTAATAGCTAACTAAACTGAAGGAGGCACAGGTTAGGGGGGAAATCCTGTCATCACTACAGCTGTTGGCTGGGTTTTACAAGTCTGGCCTTTGATAAAAAGAGGGAGGAGGAAAACCATTTTGATGGAGAGCCATTAGAAGTCCCACTAAATTTTTTACAAGCCATGTTGTGGGACGGTGCAGATATGTGGAGGAAGGTCCTCTGGTTGGATCAGTACAAGCTGTTCCTTTTGCCCTAAATGCAAGATGCAGTGAGTGAAGGAAAACTGAAACAGTGCATCGATTCGCCACGACCGCGCCGTCAGATGAATGGATATGGTGGTGGCAGCATAATGCTGTGGGAGGGAGATGGTCGGTGTTTTATGGGAGGATAAATTGAGCCAAATAACAGGGAATCCTATACAAACCTCTGCCATTGACCTGAAGGTTGTACATTACAGTAGTTTGGATAAAATATTACTATTTACAACCAAAAACAAATGTTAACATACATTTTGTAAAAAAAAAAAAAAATGAACTAAGTTTTTCCTCTCTATCAGTTAGGTTAGGGTTCCCAAACTTATTTCTGTTTGTTAAAATCTAAAGCATAAGATGGAGAATTCCTTAAATATGTTTTATTAATTTCTTCAAATCCAGAGGTTTTTCTTTTAAGCAACTAGGAAAGGGCCAGATGTTGATATCTCAGTATTGTAGGCGAAATGGTGGCACCTATGTGTGTCTTCTAAAGCAGCAGCTCACACACTCTGCTTTGTTGTAGGATCTAATGGAAAAATCTCAGGCAAGTCTGGTTCAACTTTAGTTACAGCCTGGGATGCCTCAAGGTAATGGTGTTAATCTTTTCAAATAATTATATGCAATTATAAGCTCCATGTGAATGTGCTGCCATCAAACCAGTCACAAAGAAGACATGTTTTGGTGGAATGTGCTTTAACTGCATATTACTGGAATAAAACCCCTAACCATTTAAAACGCATTTTTAATTTCTTGTTTTTCCTAAACTGATATACAGTCATATTCCATTAATCACAATATGGGTCAGATGAGGCTCGGTTGTTTGATTTTAAGGATCTTTTGAAAATGACAAACTTAAAGCAGGCCAAAAATGTGTTGGTAATATTCCAAACTTAAACTTTGTGATTTTTATTAGCTCTAAATGAAAAAAGTTACCACTTTTTAACAGAAATAAAAATTTGATAATATCAGTCTGCTTTTTTTAATTAATCTAAATAATGCTGATCACTTATTAATTGGGTCCCTGACATAAATTAACTTTTCAGTAATCATCTAATGTATGTGACTGACTGCATTTTCCAATTAAGATGGCATGTTTGTTTAACAAAATAGCAATAAGATGAAATAAGCACCTGGAGGCATTGGAGGTTGTACATCTTTTCCTTTTATATCTCTTTGAAAATTGTAGTTCGAAATACACGGGTTGTGATGTAAGCGTGAGGCCTGGTAACTGCAATTATTTCCCAGAATAATTCCCCACATTCTTTAGGGCTGCACAGATTCCTGCACTAAATCTCCATACACCATAAAATCACTCAAGGGTGTTTATTGTGTCTAAATAATGAATAGACACAGCCTTTCCAAGTTGACAGTGAAAAATTCCCAGTGATCTCCCCTGACAGAATGCATTACACAGTAAGATCATTTAGCCGACCACAAACTAAAATGTATGCATTATGCTGTTCTTAAATTAATTTCCTAATTCAGCCGGGGATAGTTATTTTACAGTCAGCATTTTACAGCTGAGAGACTGATAGACTGATAAAGATGGGAGATGAGGAAGTCAATAAGATATGAAGCCTGTGCTTAATATTCTTTTCTGTTTTGCTCTCTCGTTTCAGATGAACATGGACATTTGAAAATATACCTGCCCAAGAAGCTACTTGAATGTCTACCAAAATGCACGTCGCTGCCGAAGGAGAGGCACCGGTGGAACACTAATGAGGTAAGGACGCCGCTGCTTATCAGTCCTGCTTCCACTAAATCCATCTCTGCGCAGAGATATCCTTCCAGCAGACACGCTGCTCTCAGAGGCCATTTTTGAAACAGATTTGTAAGTCATGTGAACTCTCTTCAGAGCAATGTCGCCGCGGTCTTTCAGGATCCCCAGGCTAACTAAGTGTTCTTAAACAGTAGAGGCATCCTGCTCACATCACCGCACTTGGGTTTTTTTTTCTCTCTGTTTCTGAGTTGCTGATTTTAGTATTTTATTTTTTAGAATTTGTTCATACAATTAAGTGCTGTTAATGTACATCTTTAGAAGTGAGTGCAGTGTTTATACATTTATAATTTATTTATCTTTATTTATAAAGATATGATGGAAAAACAGATTTGTTTCTTAATAAATCCCCCATTTATTTTAGAAAAACTATTGCTTTGTTTGTGTGTTTTCCAGTTTCACTTTTAAAAATAAAGCACAATGTAGCAAAAGGCAAAAATGCTTAAAAATTCCCTTTATATCAGCCTGAATCCTGATATATTTCAAACAGCTGTGTTTTTCTATTATAATTCACTCATTGGGGTTTTTCCTTTAACAGAACGCCGTTAGGCATAACATATTAGTTAAATGCTTGTTTTTTGTGAAAGGACAGTTATATTTTTCTTTATCTTGTTTTAACGTCAAACATTGTAATTAAGCATTTTGGCTGCATAATAGGCAGAAAATAATAAGATACTTCATTTAACACATAAATTGATGTCTTAAGGAAAACTGCACAGCTATGAAAGCTTTTATGAAAGGTACATTTAGGCTGAATGTATTCTCTAAGTGCAGAGATAAAAAAAGAAATAGAAATACATTTGGACAGATCAGTCAGATTGACATTGATGTCGACTTGTTTTTATTTATCAAATGAATCAAATCTACGAACTCCCAGCATTTAAAATCTGTGTGTATATATCAACCATCTGCTTTGATGCACATTGATGCAAGTTTAGGCACAAATGCATTTATGCATAAATAGAGAAAACCTTGGAATTCATTTATTTTGTTTAGCTCAAAACTATTACTTGTTTGTAAGGAAATTCATTTTTTATTTTATTAATGGTAAAAGAAAAAAAAGTTGAGTTATATTCAGATGAAGAAAAATCTGAAATCTAATGAAATTGTATCGACTACTCAAACTCAAAATTATGAATTTCTATAAACATATGACTCAAAGTGGCACATCAACGTTTACATACCTGCTACAATGAGTGAAGACAGATTTCTCTCCTTTATTTTTAGGTATCATCCTGTAAATAGAAAGAAAAGAAAGAAATCCCATTTGGAATTACACGTGTAGGAAAAGTAAATAAACTGTTGTGATGTGCTGGTTTTATTCATGTTTGAAAACAATCTAACCACCATGTTTGACTCCAGAGCTAAATTGTAAATAAAGGTAGTTAGATCACCTAAAGAGACATGCCCACCCAATCAGAGAGACGTGGAAAGTCAAAATGTGTTATGCAGGTTTACTCCAAAAAAAAAATAAAAAATAGAATGCTTTAATCAAATTAAAGCGTACTTTAATGGTTGTTAATTGCACCTGCTCTTCCTTCTAGCAGGTTTATTTTTCAGTTACGAGATAAATGTCACATTATATGGGTAAAAGGTTTAAAAAATATTTAGCTTTGCCCATAACATCCATTCTAACAGCTGTTGGTGCACCACGCCACACAAATCATTTAGTTAAGATATAGGAAATAGTTTTTATGATGAATTTTTCAATGAGTAACATACATTTTCTCCAACTATAAGAGGCCAGAAGAAAGTCGACATAAGTATTAAACATGGTACACTGTAATTCCCAAACAGGGACTTGTGTTGCTTCATTTGCCTCAGAACTCATTTGTCAGCCCGCTCTCCTCCTCATGGGATAGCTTGATGAATTTATTGCTTTCATTTCCACTATTGATGGATGAAAATCTTGTTCTTCTATTTAGAGAAAAACTGGCGGTAATTAGACCTAAATACACTCAATGACAAATCTTAAGGCCAATGCGCAAAAATCAACCATCCGTGCTTTGGGGATTAACAAATTGCAGCCATATAAATACAGTCATCTGCAGTGATGAAAGTTAATTGACTGAATAACAACCAGATGATAAGGCACCAGATAGAGGTTGTTCTTAAGAAACAGGATATTCAAAAAGACAACGTTTTTTTTTTTCACATTGATTTTGTCTATGTTTAGCAAACAATAAAAAATGAAACCCTCTGTTGTAAAGAAAACAAAATAACAGTCCTCATTACCGTAGAGGGGTTTGCCTAGTTCTTTATGATTTACATCCCTCTAGGTCTCCATCCTCTGTAAGTTTCCATCTGTCATGTCTGGGCTCACACTAGACCTGCCCTAGTTATGAAGAAAATGTAAAACGCTTGTGTATTTCTAATTGGCTGATGTTGTAACTTGTTTGCCCTGTTTGACCTGCATTGTGCTGCCAGCGGTGTAAATTAATTAACATGGTTTTGAAATTGATCTCAAAATGTAAGTCTAAGCATTTGCGAGGGAATGCTGTCGGCCACAGTGGTTAGCGGGCGAGGTTGTCGGTTACAGAACGAAACCATCTCCTCGTTCTGTCTCAGATTGCTTCGCCGATGTTTGCCTGCTGACGGGCAGGCGAAGTAAAAATGACTGAAATAAGCGCCTTTCTTGGTGTCACGTTATGCCTGCCAATAATGTTTGCCAAGGCCGAGGAGAGCTAGGTAACCTTCCCTAAAACCAAGGGCAATTCCTTTTTTATGCAGACCATGCAGATCTCAGTGTTTGTGCCTCACTGGTGGCAGACAGGCTGGAGGGGAGGGACCAGAGAGGCTCTTGTCGGTGCAATTGTGTGACTCTTACTGAAAGTGACACCTCATCAATTCAGTGCATATTTCTGGCACCAGCTCAGCAGGCTTAATGCACTAATTTCCCCCTTTTGATATTTCAGAAACCTGAGTCGTCTAGTACATTATTATATGCTGTATATCATCATTATTTCTCCTCTTTGATGGTATTTTGTGTTTAAGATCATTTTTCTCCTCAGGCAGTCTTCATTAGTCGTTTTGCAAACCCACAGGTCAAATAACAGTGTGAAATCTTTAAAGCTACTATGATTGATCAATTAATTCATTGATTAATATTAATTTATCTTGTAAATTAATTATTATGTGTAAGTTTTCCTGCCATCTGGATTGAATTTTTTTTTTAAAGAATTTTTTTTTAAATGGTTCAGTTGAACACAATTTACTTTTAGTCCAGTTCACTATCATCCTTAGACTAACACAAACTTTTTCGATGTATACAGCTTTGCAACAGTGAACAAGCAGCTTATAACGGTGAAATGAACATTAACATTTATAAAGTGCAGCAGTTATCAAAAACGTAGACCGTGTAGGAGAAACGGAAAACCAGTTTTAAGTCATGGTGCAAAAGCCATATGAAGAAATTCTCGCAGATTGTCTAAGGCCCCGTCCACACGAAGCCAAACCCTGGCCTAAACGCACAAATTTTTCACCAAACCAGCCTCTCATCCATACGAAGCCGGCGTTTCGGGGGTCTGTAAACGATCTTTTTTTTATCAAGCCTTCAGAGTCGGAAGATTTTGAAACGCTGTTTTCGCGTTTCCATCTGTAAGCTCTAACCGCATTTTTTTTCTTACACGCATGCGTCATAGCGTCGCCTCTAAACACGCATGCGCGACACAGTATCACAACAACAATGGCGCCGTACTGTGTTGAACGGTTGCTGCTCATGCTACTCACCCTGCTGTCGGGCTTACAACAGAATCTTCTTCTTCTGGAATATCTCCAGGAAGAACAGAGCAATATCGACGACATAGTTCAGCACCTGAATTTGACTTAACCACGAAAATGGACCCGCAGGGCAACCATGTATAAATATTAGTGCGCATGCCCAACATTTCGTCGCCTATTTTTGCTTTGGCACCACAGCGCCACTTACAGGCCTGGCATACATTTTGCAGCGTTTTCATGCATTCGTGTGGACGATCACATTTATTTTACGTCTCCGTCTTTACGACAAACGTTCTGGAAAATATTAGCGTTTCGTGTTCGTTTTGACTTCGTGTGGATGGGGCCTAAGAGCTGTAGCAGCTGCTGGCCTTACGGGGCCGCCATCTTCACCCATCCTCAGGCACTTTTTACAAGATAACGCAGTCCAGAATAATATGATCCGACCAAACAGTGCAATTCCACCAAAAAGTATTGTCACATTCAATAACAACATTTAAATTTGGATTCTGTCTATAATAGGGTTGTCACGATACAAAACTTTTCAACTCGATACCGATACTACGTAAAATATTCGATACTCGATGTCATTTTCGATACCACAAGGATAAAAACAAAGACTCCAAAATTCAACAGAAATTATTTAATTAATAAACAAAATACAATGAATAGATAAATAAATACAATAAACAATATTTTGTGGTTGTATGCTGTGCACAATATTAAGCATTAAGCTTGATAAAACACTTACAAAATTAAAATTAAGTTTTCCTTCCTTGGCTATGCTTTGCACACATAACAATGACACTAGCCAAACTAGTTAAAAAACAAAAATAATTCTCAGCAGCTGCACCTGTTACAGAAAAAAGTCTGAAACCGAAAAGTGCACGGAATTATTCAATCACACAGTGTTCAGAAAGTGCATTTTCCTCTAATCTGCACATAAGATGAATGACTGTTTAGGTGCCACTGGTGGTAGCACTGTATCGATACTTTTAAAAATGAGTATTGTATCCGGATACAACTTTTCAGTACTCAAAAAAGTATCAATACTTTTGACAACCCTAGTCTTTAATACAGTGTAAGTTATGGTTTAAATTATCTCTGTAAGGAGGCCAATCCATTAGATTTGTTGACTCTAGTCCAATGGATTATTCTCTCCATGTTAACGACTTGAGATTTGGCATTTTTGGTCCTTAATACCAAAGCGATGAAACTTTAAAGCTGAT